TTTTTTTATATTCTATTTTTTATTACCACAAGTAAAAATTCCATATTAATAATACAAGAATTACTATTTTTTTAAAGGCAACTTCCTGTATAAAATGTGACTTTTACTAACATTAAACTAAAATCTTTAACAAAGTAATTATCAAAAACATAAACCTTACTTATAGGTTAATATTAACAAGATCACGTCATAAATTCCTTGAAAACTAGTTTCTTTCTACGAACACCAAATTCTTCTCATAAAGCTAATATTTTTTATTATCTATTTAGTTTAATTACAGTCCGGAATGACATATTTTCATGATTTATATAATTCAAAGTAGCTTACATTATTTATTTTAAAATTTTTAACACATTACAAAAATGACATGATTGATTTATAATTCAAACTGCCGCTTTTTATCTCCCCTCTCTACATATGGGACATATGGAACACTAGCGCCCTCTTATTTTTGTAAGATTTTTGTTTACATGGAGTTCGGGCCCCTTGTATAGTCTCCATGATCAGGTGGATGAGATTTTTAGAGGTATAGAGCGTTCATTTCGAAAATCTGCTTAAATAAACAAGAAGCAACAAAGCTTTCGAATTTTGTATCAGAATAAATTCTTCTTGCCTCCACACAATTGCCTAGTGCTTGTCCATAAGTTAGATACATGTCAGCATTAATGAGATGTAATAACAAATTTTGTTATTTTAATACATATTATTAATTATGACGTTATTCGAATAGTTATCGTGTTTAAATAGCTTATGTTAATAATCTTGATAATTAAATAAATTTCGAAAGTCAATGTTTAAACGTGTTATACAAAAACTTATTTTTTTCGAAGACGTCTAATTCTATCGAAACAAATGTAGAGTACCTTTTTTAAAGAGGAATCACTAAAGTATTTCAAAATTAATTATTCAGATCTGTCAAAATTTTGGCCTAAAAATTCCTGAACATCCATACTGAAATGCGGAGGTGCACCATCGTGCATAAACCACATTTCACGGCGTAATTGTAAAGGTAAATTTTCCAGTAGTTCGGGAACAATATTTTGTTAGAAATCCAAATAAGTGGCGCCGTTTAAGCGGTTTGATAAAATAACTGGACCAACCAAATATCGCCCAACAATACCTGCCCACAAAAAATTCATATGAAAAATCCACTTGTTTTAGTGTTCTCTACAAGCACCTGTTCTATGTCCATTGAGTTGTGAATCACCCTGTATTAAATATGATAAATTCTTTAAATATAACGATAGGCCTACGTGGAATAATAGATCAAATCGTTTTAAAAATTTGGAGTCATTTTGAAATGGCGAAAAGTTAGTTTATAGTAAATAACAATAATCTTGAATTATTATTTTTACAATTCTACAATAAAGTAATGCGTTTATTATATTTTATTTAATAATTTTACTAAATACTTATTTTACATTTAATATTGCTGAATTATTGTTAAAGTTACATTAATAAAGGGAATTTTTTATTGATATTCCAAGATATTACCTACTAATTCACAAAATAGCTGACATTTTGTTTTGTTCATTTATTACAACCGCATGAACGTGATGTCACTTTTCTACGATTTTTAATCTTCAAAACTTCTAAGATAAATCGTGATATAAGATAGTGAAAAATACTGTTAGTTTTCGTAAAATCTATGAAAAAGTCCAGTGCATTCGATAATAATTTAATATGTTTCCCAATGTATAATTTCCTGTTCGACATAAAATGCTTTTATGCTATCATACATCTGAATGTTCACACTTCAACCAAAAAGTAGCAAAGTTAACAACCACCTCTTGCTTGAACGTCGTACTCTGGGAATTCCCTGATTTCTTTATCTAATGCGCATTGCGCAAAATCATTTACAACATATAGTACTTACCTACTAGTACAATAAATCTACGTATTCCAAAGATACACTAAAATTATGTAACTAATTATTTTATTTAATATTCTATTGACATTAACTTTATTTCATTCAGTTTTTATTTGGGTATTGCTAGATATATTTTACTACGATATGCATTGATAGGTAATTGGTAAAGTATTTGTCCAATATATTTTATCTTATCGTTTTATTAAATATCAAACGACACTTATCTTTAAAAAATATTGTTATCCACACATTGGGACCTATAAAAATGCCGTATACAAATCTAACTAGAGCCAAAAAAGTGTTATGCTGCTTAAAAATGATTTTATTATTTAAATTGGACATGTTTATACTCTTGTGATGAATGTTATATTTGATAAATCTAAACTAAGATGTTTGACTGAACATGCATTCCGATTCATGCGTACGCAATCTGGAGACATTGCCTACCAACGGACACCCATTGATGTTGAATTGGCAGGGTATTTCCACGTCGTCGGCCATCTCCTCCAGGGTGTAATTTCTTGGTCCATCAAGAGAAGCCTGGCATGTGGGGCATTTCTCCAATCGAGATTTACACTCCATGCAGATGGTGTGGCCACTAACACACGCGAATATTGGAGCTGCCATGTATGTCACGCAGTAGGGACATGTCAGAGCTTTCCTATTAATCTCCACATTGAACTGTACGGGATTTTGTTCCTGTTCCTTTCTGCCTTTTTCATCAATAGATTCGTCAGCGATTAATGTTACGTAAAATCTGCAAGAAGTGAAAGCTCAATTGCACTGACAAAAAGTTAATAAATGTTTACATCTAAAAAAGTTATAACTAATTTATTGTACCTGATGATGGGATAGTTGCGACTGGTCTTACCGATGATATCGGAAAATCTGTTACTAAGGTTGTTCGTGAAAGAATTTGTATGCATTTTATGTATATTATTATTATAGGGAATCACGGGTAGATTATCGATAGACACCGCATAATTATCTTCTACACCGAATTTCAGTTTAACATTGCACTTAGTGAATTTACTCAATTTGGTACTCATAACAACTGCTCTATTCCACTGTCGAATGTAAACGAAGAAGTACTGACTGTCTACTTCGACAAAGAACATATAGTTATTATATCTATTTACTTCCCAGCCATTCCCATCGAAGCCTTTTTTTACATGTTCCTTATGTTTATCAGTAATATGTTCTCCAAGATCATCTATTAACATCTCGTCCAAACATACGGGACACTTTATGGTCTTGTAATGACAATTTCCTTCATGTTGCTCCACCTTACTCCACGGTAACATTTCCATGCACGGAGGGTAGGAACAAGGGAATGACAGGTTTTGAGCCATTTCTTCAAAGAGGCGGATTCGAGTCCAGCTGTACTCCTCGCAGTTAATTCTGTGGCACCTGCCACACTTATATAATTCATTATCATTTTTACCATCCACATTTGCAATACTGATAGGCAGGATGGATAAAAGGCAGTCACAGACTGAGCATTTATACTTTTTTACGACTTCACATAAATTGCTCTCCATCTCGAAATGATCTTGAAGTCTGATTCTGAAAATAATCAGAACAAAATGAATATGAAGTGTTACTATACGTATTTAAAGGGACAAACTACTTAATATAGGTTTCATATTGGCATAAAAATCAAAAAACGGATTCTCAATCGAAACTGAAAAATAATTTATTTGATAGACTTGCTATGCTTGGAACCCTCGCTTTTAAAATACAGTATTAAAAACTTAAAAACTTAAAAAGTTTTGTCTAATTATTTTCTGGACGACTGGAGACGATTAAATCAAAATTTTCTATGCACGATACATGAGCAAAATGACATTCAACCTGAAAAAATTAGTGACGCGAATATTAGCCATGTTGGTTAAATTTCTCTTAGAAATTATGGTATGCCACTAGAAAAAAATTATTCTTTATGCCCACCATGCGTCGTCTGGATGAAATGCGAAGTAATCACACGCGAGAGAAAGTGAAAATGGGTAAAACCCTTGACCTGCTACCTTTAAATTCATCAAAACAAAATTATTTACACAAAGATGTATTTATTTATTCATTATTTTATTACTAGAGCTGTGACAATCGGTCCGCTAGCAATTGGCGCCGTCAGTCAGCTACGCGAGCTGCTTAAAGCTATGGTTTGTTAGAACTGTAGGCAAAGCAAAGCAGTCAGTTGTGCGCGTCGGACTTACGTTGGAATCTAGAACACAAGAAGGTTCGTAGCTGGTTTGTTAGAGTCTGCTAAAGCTATGGTTTGTTAGAGCTATAGGCGACGCAAAGCAGACAGTCAGTTGTGCGCGTCAGACTTACGTTGAAATCTAGAACACAAGAAGATGCGTAGCTGGTTTGTTAGACTCTGTTTAGGTGGACTCACAGTAGGCAGAAAATTTTGTGCGTCGTCAGTTCAGTCGAAATCAAATTCGATTTGATTTCAACGCAGTCGTTCAGTTGAGCTCACAGCGTACAATGATAAAAAGCATTTATTTTTAACAAAATTTAAAATGGCAACCAAGTTTTCACCAGAGGAAGACGAGAAATTAATCGATCTCGTGCGAGAACATTCCCCATTGTATACCGTTCCTTCTATACGTCCGTTAGAAAACTCTGATCTTCACTTTTATTTTGACGAATACAACTAATTAAATTCAAAAGATCTTCTTCATGTTCTTCTTCCTTAATAAGTATTGTCACCAAAAAATGTTCCGCCATTGTCATGATAAAAATAAATTTGGCCACAGTAATAATAAATATTTCCGTCTGCATTTACCAGCATACCATCAGAAGCACTAAATCTAACAAAACACTCCCCCTTCAAAACCGATAAAGTTGAACGCTACGGATTCTGCTAACAGCGTATGTCGTCTGCGACGCACAGTTCTAACAAACCAAAGCTTTTAGCTATGGTTTGTTAGTGCTGTAGGCGACGCAAAGCAGATAGTCAGTTGTGCGCGTCAGACTTACGTTGGAATCTAAAGCACAAGAACAAGCGTAGCTGGTTTGTTAGAGTCTGCTTAGGTGAACCCACGGTAGGCAGAAAATTATGTGCGTCGTCGGTTTAGTCGAAATCAAATTTGATTTGATTTCAACGCAGCCGTTCAGTTGAGCTGACAGCGTACAGTACTAAAAAAGCATTTATTTTTAACGAATTTTAAAATGACAACCAAGTTTTTACCAGAGGAAGACGATAAATTAATCGATCTTGTACGAAAACTGCCCCTATTGTATACCGTCCCTTCCAAACGTCTGTTCATTCGATCTCCACTTTTATTTTGACGACGACAAGTAATCAAATTTAAAAGATCTTTTCATGTTCTTTTTCAATAAGTATTGTCAGCAAAAAATGTTCATCCATTGTCATTTTGCCAAAATAATAATAAATATTTTCGTCTGCACTTATCAGCATACAATCATAATCACTAAATCTAACAAAACACCCTCCTTCAAAACCGATAAAGTTGAACGCTACAGATTCTGCTAACCGCGTATGTCGCCTGCGACGCACAGTTCTAACAAACCAAAGCTTTAGGTGGTCTCACGGTAGGCAGAAAATTATGTGCGTTGTCGGTTCAGTCGAAATCAAATTGGATTTGATTTCAAAGCAGTCGTTCAGTTGAGCTCACAGCGTCCAGTGCTAAAAAAAGCGTTTATTTTTAACGAATTTTAAAATGGCAACCAAGTTTTCACCTCGTACGAGAACATCCCCCATTGCATACCGTTCCTTCCAAATGTCTGTTAGAAAACATTGATCTTCACTTTTATTTTGACGACGACAACTAATTCAATTTAAAAGATCTTTTTCATGTTCTTTTTCAATAAGTATTGTCAGCAAAAAATATTCAACTATTGTCATGAAAAAAAAATGTTGCCAAAATAATAATAAATATTTTCGACTGCACTTATCAGCACAAGCACTAAATCTAACAAAACACCTTCCTTCAAAACCGATAAAGTAGAACGCTACAGATTCTGCCAACCGCGTATGTCGTCTGCGACGCACAGTTCTAACAAACAAAGCTTTAGCTGCCTAGCAGTCGGTTTAGTCGCCGATTTCTCTGTAGGTAATCGAACGATTTCTTTTACGATTTTAGTGGTCTTTTAATGCATAATTTGTGTATAATTATGTCGAGCGTAGTTAGTGCTAAAAAACAGCAAACAATTCATACTATACTGACTAAAAAAAAACTATTTTACCGGTAAGTAGCTATAAAATGATTAACATATAAAATTTGAAAATTGTGGAAATTACCATGTCGGACCAGCTTGGAAGTATATTATTTAACTATGCAAATATTACATCAGTAGATGTCGAACGGTCGTTCTCTTCAAATAAGATATTTTATCGCCACTGCGAATAAGTTTCGCTGAACTTATAGGAACATACCTCATGATGCGATCTATAGCGATCCCATCCAGATTGTGGAACCGATGGCAACGATGCGTAAAACAATTTACGTGTTTCACAATGATACAATGACATAAATCTTATAATGATTGTTCACTTAAAATAAAGTAAAGTTGATAATCCGCACCCCTCTGGTACGTGGCCAATTATAACAGCTCACTATTATTACTTCTCTGCTTTACACACCTAACTTTTTTTTAAATTTTTTGTGGGCTCTTTTTTGCGAGAATGTGCAATGCTTACTCTACGCGTGCCGCTTAACAGGTATTACATCTTTTAAGAAGGTAATTTATTTGATACACAGCCACACACACAAAAAAAAAGTTGGGTATACTTTTATGCGACATATATTTTTCGTAGCAATTTGGCCTCCTGAACACGAATCTGGGGTCAGAATTGGCCCATCACGTCACAATTTTTTCCTAACCTCAAAAATCTTGTGAAAAATAGTGAAAATGGATGAAAATTTACTGGGAAAATTTGGAAAAAAATTATTTCCACATCAAATAGTACATATTTATGTAAAAACTCTGCTGAATTCAAATTACGAATATGAATTCACATTGTAAAAATTCAAGATGGCTGATCCAATATGGCGGGTGTACTTTTTTTTAATCCACCGATTTCAGTAAAATTTGGCATCATAAGGATTGCTGGTTGATCTCACCTTCATTAATCACACATCTAGAGCCAGATTTTCAAAAATCAAGATAAAAGATTCCACTCCGTCTAAAAATGTGACTTCGCTTAAAAAAATGACTTAAGGACTCTACACATGTAGTGTGATGTGCTTGTTTACAATATAATAAAAAATATACAATTTTTATTATATTAACATTTATAGGTAGTGTTATACCTGCTGCTTAAAGGTCAATTGGTCTTGTGTCTGCATCCAGGGCACCTCCACGTGGTGACGGTGGGCAACGGAGTTGTCTCACTATCCGGCAGAGTCCCTGGATAACGGCGTTCATGCCGTCATGTCAGGCACAAGACGGAAAGTTACGATGCAGGGCCTCGGAAACCCAGTATCGGCGGTTGGACAGGGTGGGAAAGCGGGCCCGCGATCGTCATCATGCGACCGTAGCTCTACATGTGTGGGTGACTTGGCTCATGTAGAGTATAATGCTACAAGAAATGAATCATTCCATAACTGTGATAAAAACTGTGATGTATTTTGTTACATCTGTTGTAAATACGTAGCTGGTAAGACAGGAATACCTATAAATGGTAATATAAAAAAATTGTATAAGGTTTGTTTTGGTCTTGAGATACTCAACCAGGATTCTAACGGGGTTCCGCATATCATTTGCAATTCATGCAAAATAATGTTGTACAGTACTAATAAGGTTAAAAAATATTTAAAACCAGCATTATGGGATATACCACGTAAAAAAGATGACTGTTATTTTTGTATGAATTATACTTTTGGACATAATCGAAAAAATAGAGGTAGTATTTTATATGCAGACGTTTCAACTGTGATTAAATCCATTGAAACAAATCCTACCCCTAAACCAAGTAAAGCTGATCATGTGCGAACTGAAGATTTAACCGAGTCGGAGGAATTTTCAGACGATGAAGAACTATCTGGCGAAGAGAGATCAAATGATGACGTTGATATGTCTGATAATAATGATGATGAAGAATTCCGCCCATATAATTCTAAGGCACAACCAAAATTAGTATCACAGTCCGAACTCAATGATCTTGTTCGAGATTTAAATTTACCTAAAGATGCTGCAGAACATCTAGCTTCATTTATGAAAAAATAAACTTTCTTCAGCCAGGAACGAAAGTTTCATTTTATAGAAATAGAGATGAGGCGTTTCGAAAGTATTTCAAAATGGATGAAAAATTGTCATTAGTATATTGCACCAATATAGAGGGTTTAATAAATGAATATCAACAAGATTTGTATCGCCCTGAGGATTGGAGACTGTTTATAGACTTTTCAAAACGCAGTATTAAAGCAGTTTTACTGCATAACGGAAATGTTTATGCACCCATTCCAATTGCTCATTCTACAGAAATGAAAGAGCAGTATGAAAAGATGAAAGAACTTTTGGAGACAATAAAATGTACTAAGCACCAATGGGAAATTTGCGGCGATCTAAAAATGTTGACGATATTGCTTGGTCAA